TTTGAGAATATTTTGTTTTGTTTTTAGTGCATTTTGTTTTGTTTTTAGTGTATTTTGTTTGGAAGTCGGTTTTGTTTTTTTATTATTTAGGAATATAAATGCATTTCGCGACGAATAATTAATCAAATGCTTGTTTGGTGAAGTGATCCTTTAGTATTAGCGATGCATGTTGATTAAAGACTTCACGTTTGACCCTTGTCAATTTCAAACTGCAAACTGTTGATGGTTTTGATAGCATGATTAAAATTATAAATAATGCTCGCTGTAGCCCAAAGCCGGAAAGTGAACTAATAACGAAGGAAACGATGCTTCAAGCAATGTCCATATTAATGGTAGCTTAGCATATCCTCCTTAAATAAGCTTATTGCTGTCACAGACGAATAGCCGACGATAAGTTAGTAATGGTCGCATCAATATAACTCTGGGAGTTCACAGAGATCTAGCTAAATCTGAAGCTGAGGGTATAAGAGGAGGCGTACGGTAGGGGGCAAGGGGAGGCAACTCAAGTGCATCTCAAGGTCATCCCGAGGCGACCGAGGTACGGCGTAAAATATTCGAGCAGACGTATAAATTGGAAGCCTTTGAAAACATTTAGCGAAAACGTTTTCGAGAAGATTCTTTAAATGCGACATAATAAATATCGTTTATGTTTATCACGTAGACTAGAAATTTCTATATCAGATAAGACTTCAACAAACGTTGTAAGTCCTATGTTTTAAATAAAAATACTATAATATTGTTACTACTTTCCGGACTAGAACTAATTAAAAAAGACAACATTTACGACTGCAAGTCGTTAAAAAAACCTATATTAAAGAGGGATCATTAATTTGGTGTGCAAGCCAGGACTGTAGGCTCTAATGCAAATGTGGGCGATGTCCGATAGGCGGCGTGCGCGTGCGCGGCGGGCCACTCATTAGGCGCACCACACCGCACAGCACACCAGATTGCGATTTAACAATACAACCGATATTGCACTGTACCACTATTTAAAATTAACGGTATACTGTAATATAAGCATATTAGAATACAAGTCTAGTCTTACTAAAGTCTTAATATCATGAAAATAATATTTTTGTCTGTCAGTTAGCTAGCACGCATCGTCCTTCGACCGCGTCTTCACTTAGCTTAGGTGGAATCGTGGTCAAGCGTCTGTTTTATTTGTGTTAAAAAAAAACTATCGCTCACAATAATCTCGATGTTTAGCATATTACAAAAAATATATGCTACTCACCTTGCCTAGGTTACTCGCCGATAAATTACCTTTCTGACGGTGAAAGAATTGTTAAAATCGGCCCAGTACTTTTTGAGTAATAACTTTTGTATTGAAATATCAATACATACAAAAATACAAGTCTATCCACTTTATAATATTAGTAAAGACTAGTTGTTGCTCGCGACTTCGCCTGCGTGAAATAAAAAAATAATAAAAAACAAAACTATGTTTCTATGATAACGTAGCTTTTTAATGATAAAATAATTTTTGAAATCGGTCCAGAAGTTTTGAGTTATTTCAATACATACAAAAATACAAATATTTCTATAATATTAGTATAGATAAAAACTAGGGTTTACACAGCTCGTAAAGTTTTTACTAACTACACAAAAATATGAAAATTATTTAATCTTCATTATTTTAATTTCGCCTGACGTCTTTATAATCGCCAAATGGGTTTATCCTGACAGTCAATTGATTCGTTATTCCCAGAAACGCTTACTAATTGTATCTTTATAAAACGATTAGGGCTCTGAAGGTTTAAAACGAAAAAGAATTTGAATACCGAAATAGTGGTCAGATTGTACGAAGATGACTTTTAGATTTTAGTTGGAAAAAAAGTTGTTATTATTGTTCTTAATGTTAAATCTATTTTTACTACTTTGTGAGGTACCACATCTTATAATTTGTGTGTTTTTAATGCGATTAATGTTACAAAAATGGTGGATGATATTATTGCGCGATATTGGTTTGCGGTGATTGTAATTTCTAATTCTGACGACTAATTAATGTTTATTTTTTAAATTATTCTTTTGAAGAGGCTATAGATAACGATTTGTCTAGAAACATATTGTCTAGTGGTATTGTAAAAAGAATAGTCAATCGTCATTTACAAGATAATAATCTATACTATTATAATAAAGCGTAAACACACACTTCTTTGTTGCCTAAG